AACCAGACGAGCAACGTTCAACTACATGGTGAGTCTAGATTAGACCCCCAACTGAAGTGTTTCTTGAAATTTAGCTAACGTGTAAAATACACAGGTTGCAGCCAAGCTGAGCATCTTGGAGCAGCGGAGAAAACAAGAAGAAATGTTGCAGAAGGTATATGCATGCCGCGCATAGATCAATTTTAATGAAAACTTTCTTTCTCCGGTTATCTAAAATTATGTAAGCGCATGCAAGAGAGAGCAACATTCTGACGCAAAAGTGTTATTATAAACTGAGCAGATGATAGAAGAGGAAGAGATTCGCTTACTGAGAAAGGAGATGGTTCCAAGGGCTCAATTGATGCCCTTTTTTGATAGACCTTTCGTTCCCCAAAGGTAAAAAACAAAACAATTTATTCCTTTTGTGCACGCCTTTTTTCTTCTATTATTCAAAACGACTCTCATTTAAGCAAGTCCGGTAAGCATTTCTCGAGATTTAATTGCCATATACCAAATAATGCGTTTTCTTTTTGGTTGGATTGCAGATCAAGAAGGCCCTCGACAGTTCCTAGAGAACCAAGTTTCATGAGCAGAAAGTGCTTCGGCTGCAACTCTAGCAGTGGCTTCTACAATTTCCAACACACAACTCAACCTATGAACCCCATCAAGTAGCCGACCATATATACTCTAAGCACTACTGCGAATTAATAGATTATTTCTTAATTAGTATACAAACTCCTCCTGAGCATGCTGCCTTCATGCATATAACGCCTTTAATTTCTTCTTTTTGAGATCCTTTTTCTTGCGTAGTTGCTAAAATTCCAGTGTAACTGGATAGCTGTAATCTAGTTGACCCTAAAGGGGAATTGCTAGTGATCATATTCTCCACAGTAATCAATAAAGTGAAAGTATTTCTTGTTGCTTTGCCTTTTTGTTTTCTTTAACAAATTAATGAATTGCAAACATAATGGGATCTTTTCAAAACTATTGTGTAAATAAGTAACTAATTATGGCTTGCATGCATACAAAAATGCTATGCCTAATGTGGATCAACACACCTTTTTCAAAATATGGTTGTTTAACAACACATCCAAATGATAACCATGCTCAACAAACACTAATGAAACCTCCGTCATCAAAATGCACCATCCCTAGTGGCCGATCCAGGATTTGAAAGATAGCTGGGCAAAACTTACATACTTGGAAAGGAATAAGTTGCCTGTTATTTTAATTTTGGACCGGGCCATAACATATGTAGCTTCTTTTCTTTTGGAAGAATTTGGGCCGGGCTATAGAACTGCCACTGGGCATCACAACAGATGTAACATGAGGATCCAGCCGTACAAGCCAGCTAGCCCAAGCAAGCAAAGACCAAGGCTGACTCAAATAGATGTGAGGCATATTCATTCATATAGATGAACGGATACATCAGCGTTTGTTTTATTCATTGTAAGTTTTAAAACGTAGGTTTTTATCGTTATCATAGCATATCTCATCTAACAAAAGAAAAAGTTCTTGTCTAAATTAATTTGTTAGTATATTTATATTCTTTGAGATTTAATATTTCCGATATTACAGTTCTTTTTTTTTTTTTTATAGCTAATCGACATGCATGCACAGTGTTGTTTGGATAAAGAAAAAAATAGAGTTACTTTATTAAAGAAAATATGATTACGAAAAGTCATACATATAATTACATGTATATGTTACAAATCACGATAAATTGTGACGAATAAAACGTTGACATTCGAGATGCAAGAATTTATACATGGAGAAGCTTGTTGTGCTTGTGAGTAACCATTACAAAAGTATATAAAAAAAAATATGTCTTGAAATTGAGCATCGGTTAAAGTATTTTCCACCAAGAAAGATTCTAGGTATTAAAGCACAAATCAGTGGGAGCATCATGACTAATGGATATTAATGTAAAAGAGCAACTTGCACAGGAATTTTTGCTTTATTCTTGTACTTCGACTAGAAGTAACGTTTGTTTATAGGTCTCTCTATGTGTATATATATATATGGTAGGATATATATTTCAGAAAAAGAAAAGAGGCCAACTAGAGAGAGCCTTCAAGAACCTTCTTCCACCTTCTGCAACATGCCAACATCCACGGTAATACTACCTAAGTATTATAGATAGGCCAAACTATAACCCAAAACAGAAAAAGAGAAAGAAGAAAAAATTCTTATTATTGAGAGAGAGAGAGAGAGAGAGAGAGAGAGAGAGAGAGAGATGGGGAAGGCACGTAGTGTTGGCATAGGCATGGATTATTCTGCAACAAGCAAATCGGCCCTACGATGGGCAGTCGATAATCTGATACAAGAAGGAGATCGCATCATATTAATCCATGTTGAGCCTCCCAAAGCTACCAATACCAGAAAGCAGCTGTTCGAGGACACTGGATCACGTACGTATATATATGTCTCTCTATTAATTCTCATATGTAACAATACACATCAATCAAATTACATTTATTCTCTGTTTTATTTTTTTGTTCTTCTTCGTTTTATGTGTTGGCAGCTTTGATTCCTCTAGAAGAATTTGTAGAAACTAATGTCTCAAAGCAGTATGGACTTACTAGCGATCCGGAGGTTCTTGATATTCTTGATACAGTTTCTAGAACTAAAGGGGTATGTATGCTCTTAATCTCCTCTTTCCTATTGTAAATGACATTTTGTCTTCGGAGCAATTTTGTATAGCCCAAGCATACATATACAAGTATAGAGAAGTATATGTACAGTACTTGTCCTTTATTTATTTATATATATAAAGAATGGATTGCCGATATTGTATTGATAACTTTGATGTCATTGTCAAATAACAAATGTACCAACATGTTATCGATACATGTTAATTCTTTAATAGTAAATTGAGCTTAGATCCATAAAATTCATTTTTAATCACTTACAGCAATTCCCTTTATTTTTCTATTTAAAATATCCATTTTTTCCAAATAAAACCCGATGACTAGGATCCAACTAAGTAAGTTACCTAGGATCCAACTAAGTAAGTTACCTAATCTACCTTAAAATATGTTTTATTATATTTTTCGGATTCCAAAACTACCCCTATTTACAAGTTAACGTGTTATGCGGTAGGTGTATATTAAGTCTTGGTTTCTGAATTTATTATTTTGATTTTCTCCCAACGAATTAGCCTGCAATTCAATACTATTTTTATTTGGGTAACTGCAATTCAATACTTTTTATGCATCAGTTTTGATTATGAATTTACTTATTTTTTGAATAATATAACCAACTTATTTAACGCATTTTTGAAAATAATGTACCTAATATTTTATAAAATAATTTACCTATTATCAATAAAAGATAATAGGTAAATTATTATCAATAAAAGATAACGTACCTCTTTTTTTTAAATACATAGTGTACCTATTATCAATAAAAGATAATAGGTAACTGTGTGTAGGTACATGTCATACAGGTAAACTATTTTTATTTAGAAAATTGTAGGTACATTGTAAAAATAATATACATGGCATTTATATATAATAAAAAAATCCCTATGAGTACAGTAATTATTTTTATTATTACTTGTTATCATATCCAAGAGACTATAGACTGTTTATTAGGAAAAGAATCAATGTACAGTTACAAAAGAAGGAATTAATGAAGGTTAATGGCACATATTGTAATTTAATTGATAATACTAGGAGAATTATTATCTTAAATGACAGCATATTTCAAACTTGGGTTTATCTTAAACATTTAGAAATGGTTGAATTTATATCTAGAAAATAAGAATTACTTGGGTGTTTCCCTTAAGATACGATATGTTATCGATTTTGACACATCTTTGTGCATGCAGTACAAAAGTTATAAGATAACATTTTCTATTTTATGTGTGTATAAATAAGCACTTAATTTATATTTGGAATGTGAATAGGCTAAGGTTGTGGCCAAGGTTTACTGGGGTGATCCAAGGGAGAAGTTGTGTGATGCTGTGCAAGATCTCAAGCTTGATTCGCTTGTTGTTGGAAGCAGGGGCTTAGGCCTCATTAAAAGGTGACCACTCTCTAATTTCCACTGATTAAAGTTAACTCACATTCTAAATTAAACCCCTACAGAACAGAGGTCTCTTAAAACATCAGATCTGGTCAACATTTTAGTCAAAGGAATGTACTATCTGATTAATTGGAAATTTGATGCCTAAACCCTGCAGGGTGTTGCTTGGCAGTGTTAGCAACTATGTGGTGACTAATGCTTCATGTCCAGTTACAGTGGTCAAGGGCACGACATCATCCAAACCCTAAATCGTACTCATTTCATGATATCTAAAAGCTTAGGTCTCTATCTGCAAAGAAGGAGTACTTGTACACTGGAAACTTCAAGGGATATAAGGCCTTTGATCGATGTGTTCTTTTTCTTTTGTTATTTTAGTTGTTTTTATTTTCTATTTTTTGGATTGATGGGAGTGGACTTTATGATTGTTCAACTTTATTTACGCTCTTTGGCTAAGTTTTTTTTATATATATTTTTATAATTACTATTATTCCCTTATAATACATTTCAATTTATGTATTCTTTTTTACCCAGAATCTCGAGTGTATTTATTTACCTAGAATCTCGAGTGTAGGGATAATTTTGAAGCCATTTATATATAATAAAAAAAATCCCTATGAGTACAGTAATTATTTTTATTATTACTTGTTATCATATCCAAGAGACTATAGACTGTTTATTAGGAAAAGAATCAATGTACAGTTACAAAAGAAGGAATTAATGAAGGTTAATGGCACATATTGTAATTTAATTGATAATACTAGGAGAATTATTATCTTAAATGACAGCATATTTCAAACTTGGGTTTATCTTAAACATTTAGAAATGGTTGAATTTATATCTAGAAAATAAGAATTACTTGGGTGTTTCCCTTAAGATACGATATGTTATCGATTTTGACACATCTTTGTGCATGCAGTACAAAAGTTATAAGATAACATTTTCTATTTTATGTGTGTATAAATAAGCACTTAATTTATATTTGGAATGTGAATAGGCTAAGGTTGTGGCCAAGGTTTACTGGGGTGATCCAAGGGAGAAGTTGTGTGATGCTGTGCAAGATCTCAAGCTTGATTCGCTTGTTGTTGGAAGCAGGGGCTTAGGCCTCATTAAAAGGTGACCACTCTCTAATTTCCACTGATTAAAGTTAACTCACATTCTAAATTAAACCCCTACAGAACAGAGGTCTCTTAAAACATCAGATCTGGTCAACATTTTAGTCAAAGGAATGTACTATCTGATTAATTGGAAATTTGATGCCTAAACCCTGCAGGGTGTTGCTTGGCAGTGTTAGCAACTATGTGGTGACTAATGCTTCATGTCCAGTTACAGTGGTCAAGGGCACGACATCATCCAAACCCTAAATCGTACTCATTTCATGATATCTAAAAGCTTAGGTCTCTATCTGCAAAGAAGGAGTACTTGTACACTGGAAACTTCAAGGGATATAAGGCCTTTGATCGATGTGTTCTTTTTCTTTTGTTATTTTAGTTGTTTTTATTTTCTATTTTTTGGATTGATGGGAGTGGACTTTATGATTGTTCAACTTTATTTACGCTCTTTGGCTAAGTTTTTTTTATATATATTTTTATAATTACTATTATTCCCTTATAATACATTTCAATTTATGTATTCTTTTTTACCCAGAATCTCGAGTGTATTTATTTACCTAGAATCTCGAGTGTAGGGATAATTTTGAAGAGTTTTCGGTGTCTAATTAATCAAGCTCACAGTGAGGCAACATGGGCCAAATGAGTCAATAAGCCCAAATTTCTCTATTTCACAATTTGGTTGCTTTTTTTCATCAACAGAAGAAGGAGACTTTGAACTCAAGGCCTCTTCACTATTTGAGAGAGAATTATGTTAGACGAGGAACTAACTTGTCACAAATTTGATTGTTGATTGCATCAACATATACAAAATAAAAGGAGGTAAAAATACTCATTAGGCATCAAATTTGAGCAAAAGAATTTGTCACATGCAATACAAAAAGGACGCTCACTCTCATTCCAACTGAAAGCACATACAAGTACAGTTATAATCGAAAATGACAATTACACACTCAATTTTAGCAAAGTTAATAATTAATTAGAGTAGCAAAAACCAGACACTTTCTAACAAACAACATTCATCTTCTGCTTCCTGGCCGTAACAAACTTCCTCCAAATTGTTGTGATCTCCCTTGTCTTTTCCAAATCACTCTTCTTACTCTCAAGTGCCCTCGTCTCTGCAGGTTGCCCATCCTTTTCGTCGGCAGCCTTCACATTGGAGCTAAGCTTAGATGGAAGTGTGTCTAGTTCATGCAACACTTTCTGGATATCATTCACGAGGCGCTCCGCCAAAGTGCGAGAGAAGTCTTCTCTAATCACGACGCGCAAAACTGTGACATGTTGCGCGTCTGGGGGCATGGTGTAGGCAGGGACGATCCATCCGAAGCGGCGAAGCAAGTCAGAGATTTCAAACTCATCATGGCGGTGGTTGTCCCTCAAAGAAAAGGCCACCAAGGGTACCCCTTCATCTTTAGAGACTATGTTGAAGCGCTCTGTCTTCTCCAATCCTTCTTTTAATACTATCATGTTTTCACGACAATTTTCCATGACATTCCTGTACCCCTGGTTTACATGCACAAAATTCAATTAATAATGTCATACATATCTAAAGATGATATGATCACCAAGCTGTTTTAATGGATTATCGATAATTCTCATGAAGTGGTTACTGTAAGCATTGCATTCGTGTATTTATGTTATCACAATTAGATGTCTTAATAGTTTTCCATTAGTCTATTTACAAGAATAATATTTGAATGAAGATCACGAAATTGACCATTTCTCGACAAACTATCTTATTCATTTATAAATTATTAGTGTACCTACCTCAAAACCCAAGCGAATCAGTTGATAATATTGAGCAATAACTTGGCTGGAACCTGCATTATGGAAAGCATGAAAACTCAGTCTACAGTTGGACATTTACCAATGTGAATAATGTATTAAAACTGCTATGATATATCAATAAAATAATGAAGACAGTTTAAAGAGTAGGTACCTTTAGAGAAGTTGAGGGTGAAGGTAGGTTGATCTGCTCCGAGATAGTTGATATGGAAGATGAGTTCCTCAGGCAAGTCCTCTTTGTTCCTCCAGATGACCCACCCAATTCCTGCATACACAAGTCCGTACTTGTGCCCACTAACATTGATGCTCTTCACTAAGGGCAAACGGAAGTCCCACTCAAGTTCTGGGTACAAAAATGGTGCAATAAACCCACCACTTGCTGCGTCTACATGGATTGGAGTATCCCATCTGCGCAAGCGAAAAAAAATTTCAAAGTTAGGTGTTGTACACATGACATGAGTAATGTTATTTAGACTACATCAACATTACAGAGTCAGTAATAGATACCGGACCTGCCTGTGTAAATGAATCCCGTTTTCTTTGAGAAGAGAGGGTTGGAAAAATGATATATGTGTCGACTCGATCCAAATTGTCTTAATTTGTAAATATATATATTTGAAGAGCTTTCTCATTAATTTTAAGAGCACCGACTCTTATTCTAATATTTTGAATTCCAACTACTGTGACAACATATTTCATTCGATTATAACTAAGTTTATTACCATGTGAATGTCTTTTATTTATGCATAATAAGTGATGGTATGTGTCACATCAGTAAATAAGATAAAAATTGAGAGAGAGAGAGAGAGAGAGAGAGAGAGAGAGAGATTATATACCCAGTTTCCTTGTTCTTCTCTACCAAGAGATCATTCACGCGCTTAACATCTTCGAATTCTCCATTGAGAGTGGAGCCGAGGATAGCAGCGACGCAGATGGTGTTCTCATCAACCATCTCCACTGCTTTCTCAGGGTCCATTACATAGTATCCTTCCTTCAACTTCACCTCCTTCAACTCCACCTCAAAGTACCTTGCAAATTTCTCCCAGCACACCTTCAATCCATAGGAGTAACAATATTAGTTGGATTGATTGCAATGTTAAAGGTACTAAATTTTTGTAACATTCGATTACTACTTAAATCACATTACATTATATGTGATAGATGATGTTTTAATTATCAACTAATCATAATAAATAATCAATGTAACAAGTCGATTACGTACATGTCACATAATTCAATTCACTAATGTAACGATGTAGTTTAAAAAAGAGTGTCCCTCCCTAACATCAATCATTGTTGAATTTTATTTATTAAAATTGATGAAATAAATATGATGAGCATATATAAATACCTGGACATTGGCTCCGGTGACAATGTTGGGGTTGTCAATGGGCTTGCCCTCAGCTCTCCTCTTGTTCTGCCACTTCCTTTTGAAAGCTAAGCCGGCCAACATGATGGCTTCAGAAGAGCCCACAGTTCCCACTCCAACTGCTGACTCTGACTCCTCCAATGGGGCATTGAATAGATGAGCTATGATGTTTACGCACCGATTCTGTGTGTTCATGTATATCATGCGCAAAAATACAACACATGATTAATTATCTCTAAATAATCTGTAAGTTGAGATTAATTTTTAATCAAGATACAAAGCTCTCTTAATTAATCTGTGTTTTGAGTGGTTAATCATATCAATTAACATGATGATTGATGACAGGCACCGGTGTCATCCATCAATTGGAATTTACACAAAAAGCTCTTTCCTAGAGAAACGCTACAAAAATGACAGCCTAGAAGTTGGAAGATACAATTAGTTTGTCGAATTATGTGGTAGATAAAATTCACTTACTACATCAATTATTATGATCAACTCCTTAATTAAGACGAAACATGCTGTTTTTAGGACTTTGAGATTTCCAAATTCAAATCATCCTCTTTGTGCACTACTAAAAAAAGTGGCAACACTCACCATTATTTGATGACATTTGTGGCCGCTATAAAAGGCACATTAGTCACTTTTTGTTGACTTTTTTGGTGACTAAAAAGGCTTTTAGTCATATTTTTTTTGCTTTTTTTAGTAACTAAAGCCTTTAGTAACCTACACAACAGTCACGGTATCTGTTGCCACTCTTTTTTGTAGTGGTGTCCATTGAATTCAACAGTGGTGTCCATTGAATTTAACCGATCAAAGGGGAAAGGCGTTGCTTTGAGGAACTTAAAACTCTGTGTCAAAAAGGTAAAAAGGAAAGAAAAGAAAACAGGAGAGAGAGGGAGAGGGAGAGGGAGACAGAGAGACAGAGAGACAGAGAGAGAGAGACATTGTCCCACACACTGATTGAACGATATGGACATCGTCGGCCAATGAGAGAAGAAGAAGATATGCAGATGAATGGGGTTGCCGCTAGATCCAAATGTGATGGATGGAGAAATCAATGTACGCGTCTAAAGGAAGGAGATAATAGTGTGTACGTGGTAATAAGAAAATTATCTACAACAATATCAGAAATTTATGGACCATCCATTCCACCTAAAATTTCTACAACGAGTGCCAATTTATTCCACACGCATCTCGGCATAAACTGTGGACCCAATCAACTCTAATTGTTTTCCTGCCTTTCAACTTCATACCATCCGTTTTTCTTACCGGAAAACAATATCGATTTGATGTGTGGTACGGTGATGGTGATTCAGTCTTATTTGATGTCAAAATCAGTCGGTCATTACCGACCAAAAAAAAAAAATCCGTCAGCCTACCACATGGGAATATTAGGTACACAACTCAGAAACTGAAGCACTTACCTCCAATGCATGTACGTACGGGTAAATAAGGCAATTGATTTTAGAGTTGTCGCCACAAATCAGGCCTTAGCATGTGGAGGATGGCTGGCATCTCACTCCTCCTCATTTCTATAATCTATTTTTTTTTATCTTTATGATATTATACGTTAATTAACACAAACATGTATAATTGTGTATTAATTCTCACCTACTCCACTCAGGGTACGTTTTAAATTACGAAGAAAATGTGATATTAATGATAAGAAATTGTAAAACGGGAATGGATCCAAAACAACGATGATTTGATGAGGATGAAAAAGAAGATATGGGGTTACCTGGAGCTCAGTGGTGACAGGGTATTCATCCATGTCCACGTAGTTCTTGTTGATGGAGGCCATCATCAGTTTGTCGCACTCAGGCTCCATCCACGTCGTTACGAACGACGCCAAATTCAGCCTCGGGTTGCCGTCCAACATAAGCTCGTCGTTTATGATCTGGTATGCTGCCTCCTTTGGGATCGAGTTTTCCGCCATTTTGAACCTGCATGATCGATAAATATCATCCATCCATCCATTTAATCAATTCATCCGCAATGACATCGATGATGAAACTAAATATCGAGACTTTTGTTGTTGTTAAAGTGTTTTATGATGTCAGACTATGAATTTAAAATTACCTGGGAAGAGAAGTTCGAACGTATCGAGAAGCGAAGGTTGAGTGGACGAAGACATCCGACTCCGATGCAATTTTTGAGAGAACCATGGTGATGGATTGATAATGGTGTAGTAGTTTCAAAGGGATCTAGAAATGCGACTGTGGGTATGGGTTTTGAGCAGGGAAGAAGATCAATCTAAAGAAGTCACAAATGAAGTAGTAGTATACAACTATGGAAGGGAAGAGTGGACCCATGGTTTTGGACTTTTTGAACCCATTCAAAGTCGGGAGTCAGCTCTATAGACTCTCCCACATCAGTATTCAGTGCCGCAGGAGTAGTTGGGAAGGTTCGTCAAAAAATCTAATAATTGCCCAATTCCATTTAAAATTTAGTTGAATCATTTTTTTTGGTTACATTGGAGTTAAAATGGATTCGAACTGCTGGGGTGCCATGGGGAGGGGTAAGCCACCACCACTGTGGTGGGAACCATTGACAGGTGAATCAATTTGACTGCAAACATTAAACCAGTCAAGTTTTCTTGCCAAGTAGTTTGGATTGGAAAGAATTGTAAAAAGGAAGAGTTTCAGTTATACCTCTTAGGTTTGTTCTAATTACAATCATACTTTATATGTTTTATTTATTTTACTTAGATCATCTCCAACAGTAGTAGTAAACTAAATGTTTCAAATCTTGTTAACTTATGTGGTAATTTGAAAAGATTTATTGTTATTTTAATAATTTGTGTCGTATTGGATTCTTCAATTCAATTAATGCGATGTTATCAAAGAACTATAGTATGAAAAAAACGGTTTTGAGTAAATTTCGGATTTCACCTGCGCTTCATGTTCAACGTCTTTAGCGGCGTAGGCAAATTCCTGAATTGCTGTTGTGCATATCTCATCTAACAAAAGAAAAAGTTCTTATGTCTAAATTTGTTAGTATTTATATTATTTGAGATTTAATACTTCCGATATTACAGTTCTTTTTTTTTATAGCTAATCGACATGCATGCAGCACAGTGTTGTTTGGATAAAGCAACAAATAAAGTTACTTTATTAAAGAAAATAGAATTACGGTAAAATCACACACATAATTACATGCATCGTTACAAATCACAATAAATTATGATGAGTAAAATTTTCACATTCTATATGCCAGAATTTATGCATGGAGAAGCTTGTGAGTAACCATTACAAAAGTGTATAAAAAATGTGTCTTGAAATTGAGCATCGGTTAAAGTATTTTCCACCAAATAAAGATTATAGGTATTAAAACACAAATCAGTGGGAGCATCATGACTAATGGATAATGTAAAAGAGCAACTTGCACGGGAATTTATGCTTTATTCTTGTATGTACTTGGACTAGAAGTACCGTTTGTTTTTAGGTATCTCTCTATGTATATATACAGTAGGGTATATATTTCGGAAAAAGAAAAGACGCCAACTAGAAGTACCGTTTATATTATGTCTCAGACGATGTTTTAATTATCAACTAATCGGAATAAATAACAACTGTAACAAGTTGATTACACATGTCACATAATTTGATTCACTTAATGTAAATATTTAGTTTTAAAATATTTTTATTTATTTATAAAGAATGGATTGTTGACATTGTATTGATAACGTTTGATGTCATTGTCAAATAACAAATGTACCAACATGTTATCGATATATTATCAACAATATTGATACATGTTATTAATTCTTTAATAACAAACATACGATATATTACGATATATTTTAAGGCTATATTTGGCCTACAACCATGGCTGGAGATGGCTTAAGGCTTTAGACGTGTTCTTTTTCCTTTGTTACTTCAGTTGTTTTTATTTTCTATTTTGTATATCATGAAATGTTTATTCTATAGGTTTTGGATTTATGGGAGTGGACTTTATGATTGTTCAACTTTATTTATGCTCTTTGGCTAAGTTTTTTTTATTATATATTTTTATAATTACTATTATTCCTTTCTAGTACATTCCAATTACTGTATTCTTTTTTTTTAACATACAATATTAGCGGAGGGGTAAGGGACGGACCTTTAGTTTGGCAAACCTGGGCTACATCCCAAGTGGCTTCTTTTTTCCAGCCAAACAAATAAAATCCTAGCTCACCTAATTTAAATAACCTAATCTAGTTCTCTTATGGCTCGTTTGGTACGTCGGACTGTACTGACTAATTTCTGTTGGATGGTATTAATCTGTTCCGGAGAGTACTGACTGTTTATTCATAATATTATAAGGCGTTTGGTGCTGTTCCGGATAAATAGTCTGACTAAGTTATACTGTGTTTGGTGATGTTCCGGATAACATCAGATCAGACTATTTTAAAAATAAATAAAAAATCTTTGATAATTTTAATGGAAATTGAGATTCAAATGACATGAATTTTTTTTGTGTTAAGATTCATATGACAAGATTTGTTTTTCAATTGTTTTTGCCAAGATTTTTTTTCATATAACCCATTATCATAATTGTAGTATCTCATAAAAATTCCAACATACTCGCATACGTTAATAAAAACAGTACCAAATTCAATTGACATAAATAATGGAAAGTTCTCCTATCCATCCTAATTTGGTTCACACATTGTATGTCATCAATTCCTATAATGCTATCTAAATAATTTGACCGAGTTGCAATCCTGAAAAACCTTTGACTCCTAATGGCATTCCGTTGTTGGCGTCGTTGTTCCAAATTGTAGTTTGTCATGAACCACATCATGCACCAAACCATGATATGCAAGAACCACAATCTAATAATAAAGTATGCCACAATCTTTCTTTCATCCATATCTAGGCATAATATAAAGGAAAAATTTTTAGTAAAAGTAATATAAATAACCATGCATTAATTTTAGCAATATAAATAATCATGCATTACACAAGACTACATGTAAAATTAGAATAATACAACAATAAGTAGAATTCTACACATGACAAAAGACTACATGTGGTTTAACTATTAGAATTGTATTATGAATATTGATCTGCATATGTCTGTACTGGACATCAAAGTTTCCATGTACAACAAGAAGAAGGAGAAAGTAACAGAAGAACAGAAGCATTGCAATCAAAAGAGCCAAGGCCTCAAGCTTGGGAATCGTAAAAAGAAAAGGAAAAGAGAAAATTTATCAATCAAGAAAATGGTTCAAGAGGAAAACATCATAAATGGCCCATGGTTGCCCAGAAAAAAAAAATGGTTCCTAGAATTCAGGTTCAT